CGCAGAGGTCAGTGGTTCGAGTCCCGTACAGGCCTGATTTTTTTCACGTCTGATTTTTGCTATTGCTTAAATAGCGCTATCTACTGCGAGGATCGTGCATCATACGTATCTAATACCGCAGTTCAAAATATATGAACTTCATATATTTCATTGTATCTGAAAACAATATTATTAATAATAACGTCTTAACACATTCTTTCATTACGAGGAGAGTAGAGTTTTATAATTTTTATAATTTTTACCAAGCATATTGGAAAATAGTACTTGATACCAAATGAGATTTCTAATTTTTTCAAAGAGGGGGAAGAGACGGGCTTTTCCGCCAGCAGCGATGGCTAAGTTCTTGTGGGTAAGCTCCCAATTACTACTTGCTACATTTCTTTTATAGATTTTCCTTCAGGTGAAATGATGGAATCCTTGAAAACAGTTCCTGGACGAAGCAAAAACCAGCAACTGATAAAGGGCATAGTCGGTATGAAAAAACATATTTCAAGATCCACCAAAATTTGATCGAAATTGATGTTACCCTAGCGGACTTAAATTACAAAAAAACTTACAAAAAAAAAACAGGGGGGTTTGTTTCTTTTCATACCAGGCATAAAAAGTCCAGAGAGAGGATACCCTCGTCTTTAGCAGACATCAAAACGGCGTCAGCTTGTAAAAGAAGAGTTCCATTATCTGAATATAGCTCGAGTTGGAATATTCACTTTGTACAAACTGTTTGATTGCATATTTAAATGCTTAAGAAATACTTTGTGCCTTTCGATCAACTTGGCCGCCTTCAAAGATGAAAGTGGAAAAATTTGGTGCGAATTATTGTCTTCTGACAAATACAGAGATGCCATAAACTACAAGGAAAACGTGACTTCACATCATTTGTCTATTCGGGTAGGTACTCTTTGTAAAGCACTTGCAGTTGATGGTATTGGATGTGTCACTTGTCACAGCTTGCAGAGCAGGCATAATTTTGGCGAGCGGGTGCTCACTATTTTCTAAGCAAAAATTATGGCCGTCATCTTTTATTTTAATGGAAGGTGAGGGCTGGGGAGAGAAAGAAATTTGTACCAAGGGGGGAAACTACAGCGAAAAAAACTAGGAGGGGGTGAGGGTGGATAATGAAAATTGGTTGTGACTTAAATGGATACTTCAAAATCAGGTTTCCGAGTAAGGACTGGAACTGAATTTATTTTCGGTAAATAATGAAGTAATAGGCAATAATGGTTCCAGTCCTTACTCGGAACCTGATTTTGGAGTATCCATTTAAGTCACAACCAGTGAATATTACGCTTGCCCGAAGTCATTGTTGTTTTGCGAACTAAATCTCCGTTCACCTATCAGTTTCTGGCTGATGCGGTTTAACTCAATCGCAAGCCAAATGTGTCATTTGGACATTTCGAACTTTATTAACTCGTATTTGCGTCAATACTTTTCGAGCGGCGGAACTCGCGCGGCACATTGGCCGCACTCAAAGATTATTTGTTTTCACTGATTTGTTTTTTCACTCGCGCGAAGGACTTCGCCGAACAGGAGGGACTGCTCGTAGTATAAGTTGAATAAACGATTGTGCGCTTCTTAACGTTCACTCGCCCTTATAAGACGCCTCCACTACAGGCTCTTAGTAAGCAATACTTGCTTATTACTTTCAGTCGCCTTGTTTTTCTTCACCATGTCAAAACAAAGGAGCCTGCATCCCAAATTACAAATACAACTCTTACGACTGTCTTTGTGAACAAGGATTCGTCGGAGAGTACTGCGAGAAAGGTAAAGTATCTTGCATTCATGTCTTCCTCGGAGTGTCTTCAATGTGAACTGTCGCTAAAGAGTATTTGTTTTCCTTGACATTTTTATTATCATTATTATTGTTGTTATCATCACTGGGTCTACTTGCTCCCTGACAATCCATTTCAATTTTATTAGAAAGTGCAAAAGATATGTTATTCTTAGAAGTGCGATAGTTTGTTACTACATAGAACAGCAGCCTATAACAAAGCGCGTTACAGGTATCGCTAGCTGTGACACTTTACTACGACTGTCGCTATACATATCTGTCTTTCTCTGGATATAATTAGTGTGATTTTGAAGCTATTTCGTATTAATCGTAATTATTGGACGTGCTTTTCCCCGGCCAATCCTTTCCAATTTAATTACATAGTGCCACAAGTGTCACCGCAAATTGAGACGATTATTTTTATTAATAAGTGCAACAGATAGATTTTTTGATAAAAAGCTAAGACAGGTGGCTAAAGATTGTGACAGGAAGATTGATGAGCCAGCCAACTAGTACGTGCAAGAGTGTCTTTCAAATGTGTGGTCGCTATCTATATTAGCAATAAGGGAGGCCATCACTGTAATCCAACAAGCTTGTTAATTGAAAAAAACAAAATAAAACAAAACAAAAAGCATTAGACTCGGTCAAAAGTTTTGCAGTTTACAGTTTTCGATTGGCTTGAAACAGTTTCAACTCTAAAAGAAAAACTATATCTAGAAAATTGGTACGGCGAATTACGGAATGTTCTCGTCTTATAAAAAAAAATATATATATTTCTCTTGGAAGGTACCTGAAAAGGGAAGCCATCCATAAATTTCATTTCATTTCACATCGGTGAAGTTTAGTCACCAGGAATGCACAAAATGATACACAAGATCAGAGTTTACCAGGCTGTAGCTATTGCGAGTAGCAAATGGATTCATTTAAGTTGAAAATCTTACTTAAACTCAACATGCTAAAGAAGAAGATAAATGGATAAATACTTTGATAAACAAACAGATATTTTTTCCCCTAAGCCGTAAAGTCATGCAAGGAACTTTATGATGTTTACAGGTTAGTTTCTTTCCTAAAATGTTTTTGCAACTTTAACTAGGACATTACAATCAAGCACAACATTTTATTTAACCCCTGTTGTTTCTCGATGAAAATGAAGTCAACAAAACTGCTCAAGCACCTCCCCCTACCTTACAGTGAGTAGAACTTTGTACTACTGACATAACCCAACATGATGTCTTGGCTCTTGCTTGATCTCAGCTTGGAAAGCAGTAAGAAATTAAAAAAAAAACAACAAACAAACATGATATCCTTTTACATTGTCTCTGTCCTTTCCTTCATTGCTCAGTAAAACTTCACAAGTTGCATGATTGCCGAACGCGTATTAGATAAGGATCCAGAGAGACTAAAGGTGATGAGGAAAAGGCAGACAATTTATCAGAGAATATCTATGCCGTGGTAACAAAACAATCCTGTAAACCTTTTTCTACTTCGGGCTGTATTAACTTTCTTTATTATGACGATTTATTTATTTGATGCGTTAATTAAGGGTATTATCATGGTCAATAAACCTGATGTCAGTCAACTGGTTACCCTCCGTTTGGACTCCAAACCAGTCTCCGTTCTCTGTCACATGGGAGATTTTGGATGCGGAGATGGAGGATGGACGCCGGTTATAAAGATTGACGGCACCAAGGTGCAATTTTGCCTCGTTTCAGTTTCTTTATAGTATATCATTATTAGAGCCGATTTAGGGTATTGCCATAAATCTTATAGGGTTACAACAGTATACAGCTTGACGGAGAAAATAGAAACTTCTTAGCAACCGAGCGCGGGGGCCCTACTTAGGAATGTTGACCCGAGGTTGTGGCCATTTTTTATATGAGTAGTCCATTACATTGCGCTCGGACAAAACTGTTTATTTTGAATCTGACGTAAAACTAATACACGGCTTAGGACCGTTTCCGTTGAAAAGGGCTGTTTGACAATCCCTGTCTAAGTAACGGTAAGTAAGAACCAATCAAACCGCTCGGATTTCCTTTAAAACAACCCTGCCATATATTGATATCCGAATAAGGATTGCAAAAATCTTATAGATCCACCGAAACAAAAAGGAACCAATAGCTTTCATTGTTTTCTTCATTGGGATTAATTTAAAAAAAATTCTCAGACTTAAAGGTTAAAACAGGCTGAGATGACTATTCTTCGAAAAAACAGCAGCAAGGACATTAGTGGTTTTAATTGACGTGACCATAAATCAAACAATACCAGCGCGAGGATGGTTATGATGACCAACGGGACCTTTTCTTTGAACGAGAAATAAAATTGATGGAGTTTTTAGATCAAACGAACATTGTGAGAGAAATACATACATACACACATACATACATTGGCTTTCCCCAAAGGAGGCTTTTCAAAGACAATATACAAGCGTTACTAATCACAAATAAGAATAAAGTTAGCCTTGCCTTTATTACCGAAACATGGCTAAAATCTACCGTCATGGACTCTGTCGTTGACATTCCAGGTTATAGCATTATAAGAAAGGATCGGTCATCCGAAGAACATGGTGGCGTGTGCCTTTAT